TACAAGTTTTTAAATTTACCATAACTATCATAGGGTTTTGGGATAGTCTGGTAAAAAGTATAAACCTATGTTAAAATTTTTTGGATTAGTTTTTAAATATTAATGATTTAATTTTATTAATATAATGTACAAAAAATTATATTTATAGGTTTTAGTGAAACTTTTTTACAAAATATAATTAATAATTAAGATTATAAAATAATAAATAATAGCCAAACTCGCATTTTTCAATAATTATTTTGGTATATTTACTCATAAGTGATGCAGTATTTAAACATAATATAAAGAAAAATATGAACAAATTGTAAAAAATAAATAGGAAATAAAATATTACGCAAAATAGTGGTTGAAAAATAAAACCAAGTGATATATCAAACATTATAATAAAAAAGTATGAATGCATTGTAAGAAATATTTATTCACGATAAGAAATACGCAAAGTGATATAACAACTATAATAATGACGAAGTATGAGTTAATTGTAAAAAGTATATATAAGACTACTGGGGAGAACGCACGACATACGATAAAAATCGTATAGTGGGCGAGCGCCCATTTGATCATACACGCCACTGCGAGTAAAACGGTCGTACGACAGTCGTGTATCACAGTGGCAGTGGACGACTGCTCCACGACAGTTTGTCGTAGTCGTGAGATTATCGTACAGTGGGCGAGCTCTCATAAGATCCAATGGTTCACTGTGGAAATGTTGTCGTTCCGACACAGTGTCGTACGACCGAAATCGTATAGTGGGCGAGGGGCCTGACAGCTCGCCTTGACTACTTCCTTCACCACTTCCTACGTCGCGGACCTGTTTCCCTCCCTTCCTATTGCACTTAAAGATTGCAGATACCTTATTCTAATCGTCATAAACAGTTCCCGCACTCCGGACTACTCGCCTTGACTACTTCCTTCACCACTTCCTACGTCGCGGACCTGTTTTCCTCCCTTCCCATAGCATTTTAGGATTGCAGATACCCTAATCTTATCGTCATAAACAGTCCCCACACTCCGGACTGCTCGCATTTACTACTTCCTTCATCACTTCCTACGTCACGGACCTGTTTCCCTCTATTCCCATAGCATTTTATGATTGCCTATACTACTTCCTTCACTACTTCCTACGTCACAGACCTGTTTCCTTCCCTTCCCATAGCATTTTAGGATTGCAGATACCTTAATGTATTCATCATAAACAGATCCTAGACTTCGCACTGCTACCCTTGACTACAATGTATCGAGTAATCTTAAGTATAATCTTTGCTCAATATTAACAAGTGATGTTTTTCCTTTTGTACTGTATTTGTAATTTCCTAGTATACTGTGGGTAGTTGGCTTATTATGAGCACATGCTAAAACTTCAAATCTTTTGTTTACTTTTTACTTGTTATTTAATTCAGCCAACATGGTTACCTAGCAACCCATAAGACTAATGTTAAAAAAATGTGATTTTCAGTTTCATTTTTCTACGGATTCCTGAGAGACTTTTTTAACGCTATATAGATGTTGGCACTCACCGATATGGTCTTTATCACCATGCAAAATTTGAAAACGATTGATTCAGCCGTCTAGGAGGAGTTTGCGTATTACGAAATGCATAAAAGTCGACGTATAAGAGCTTCGCTCGCTTCGCTCGCTCCGCTCAATTAAGTGTCGTTTCAAAGTATGAATTGAGAGGAAGATTACTCTGTGAAAAATATGTAACTGGATTACGATTTTGTTACAATGCTAATTAAAGAGATGCTTTACGTAAAAATAAACAGCCTTAACATTATTTAAACAAATATTATTCAACCAATGATGAATATTACATTTTAAAATTATTAAGGCCTTGTTAGTGGACCTGTGTACGTTAAGTGAGGGACTTGGTATTACCGTAGTGTTCATGCATTGGTTTTATGGTATATAGTAAATGGACAATGTACATCAGAATCTTTAGTCGATTCCTATGAATTCTCATGTAATAAACCAGTTTCGTGAACCAGATATTTATGTATATATTTAAAATTAGATAAACAGCTTTCCATTAGGGACGTTCAGAAACTCAAAATGCTTTTGTTTTATGTTATATTCACCATTATAAATAAATATCACCATAAACCAATCCCAATTTATCTAAGCAAGTAGTTACTTTTTTGTAAGTAATTACTTTTATAAATACAGAAAGCTGTGTGTTCGGTGAGCTCAGTCAACGCGATTACAGACATTTGTCAGGAAACGGTGAAAAAGCATGCAAAACATTAGGTGGCATAAAAATATGTTATAAAAGTTTGACGAAGTTTTAGTTCCTTATTGTCATACTTTCTACCAATTGAATCACTCACTAACTAAATTACACTGTTTCTGATGTTTCAGCTACTGTGCTCAGTGTAAGGTGTTTAACTACTCAAGAATTGGTTTGACAAACGTTCTGGAGTTAATGGATACAACCATTACACGAAAATAATATTATCATTGAACAAACATCACCGTTACTTTAGAAATAATGAAATTGTTATTCTTCTAATATAGTCAAGTAAAATAATACACATAGATTTGGAACTACATTGCCAAATTTTGTACAATTATTTTGGTTGAAAATTACAAACCCTTCTAAAACTGCAGGAAAGAACAAGAATTGATCATAGTTTGAATTCTCTAAACTTCTAATATTTGAGTAATTAGTTCGTCTTCTAGCGTACAGTCTGAAGCAAGTCAATTAATGACATCAGCAGCTCACATCAGCACATTATCCCTGCTGAAGCAATCACTGAGCTAACTCAAGTGTGCGCTGAGCGCTGATATTTCCCGTGACATGCTAATTATCTGAATTGTTCATTCCTAATAGAATAATGTCGCAAAAACTTGAAATTTTATTTTTAAAGCTTATTTAAACAGTAATAGTTTTCATTAATAGAAAATAAAAAGAGACCAATAAGAATTAAATTTACATATGTTCAAGTTAAGATTTCTGGAGGGGTTTCCTCCCTTTAATACACGAAACTCTTTTGTTATACTACAGATTCTTTATTCTGTGGTTATATCAATCACGCCAGGATAGGTTAAATACGGATATGTAAACAACATTTTAATTGAAACTAATTATTACAAATAACCTAACATAACCTGGTGTGGTTGGTATAACAGAAAAGTACAAATAAAACTTGGTAGTAGTTTTAAGTCGTGTTTTTACCATATAAAATCCATCAAATATGTGCTTTCTTTTTGTAAAAAGCAATAGTTATTTCCATAAGAAGCAAAAATATAGGTTTCCATATCTTTATTTCTTAACTTAATTTCATAAGCTATAACAAACCTAATACGCCACTTAAAACATATAACCTTTTAACACAACCTATAATCAAGATAACTTTATGTTTCCAGTCTACTAAGTGTTAAGTCTACTACTAAAAATTGGTTCACCTTCCTGTACATGGAGATAAACAGAAAAATAAAAATGACTCGCCCTCAATATAATTTAGTAAACATCAAGTTTATGATTCTTTAATAACTTATTAAAGACGTAATATCTAAGAGTATGACTGTAGTCTTTAAACACCGATTAATTGTAGAAACATTTTCCTCTCTTTACTTCAGTTCTAAACATAACAGAAAAACATTACTGTAGTTTTAGAAATGACCACTAATAGTTTTCATGCTTAGAGGAAAGGTTATCGACATGCAGATTAAACCAGAAACGAAAACAGTTTGTTCTAAAGAAGTTACTGACTTATCACAAAACCCCGAGAGCCAAAGTTCATAAAGAAAGTTGTTTGTAATTTTTCTTGATTGTGTCGTGTAATCAGGGTTTTTACTGCTGTGATAACATTCATTCAAGTGGTTTAAGCCAGTATATTTCCATGTCTGTGAAGGTTTGAACCAGCAGGCCTTACCAGATCGGTTTGAGATATGAACAGTAAGTATTGTATTTAAACTACTATCAGATCCCAGGGTTTTAAAGATGTTGATCAGATAAGCAGTAAACTATTGTAGCGACCTTGGCCTTTTATTTCTATAAGTAATTAGCAATCTGGTGATATCATAAAACTGTTTTGGGCAACAACTGTGTTTAGCAAATTTGTTGCGTATATACTTTGCTAATTGGTTATGGTATAATATTTTTTAATGATAACAAATACTTTAAGTTTACCCCTCAACTTTATTTTGTTTCTGAACAACAGCTATTTGCCTGTTAACTTTAATAACACATTGGTAACACATATTTTCGATTTCTAATAAAGTAGGCTAGTTTATTATGGAAAGAAAAAATTATTTCGGTACTAAGCCACATTCAGATTTCTTTGAAATTGTATTTGTTTTATTTTGTGATAGTATTATTTAGAAAACATACTCCTATATAGTATCAAGAAAATTATTTTAAAACATTCATTTTAAACTAGGTTTAAGGATGTTGATATAATATGAAGAAATATGGTTTATCTAATTGACGCACGTAATATACTAAAACTTTCAATTTGTGCAAATACAATATAATAAGGGGGTTAATAGTTCCAGACAAATGGTAAGTCTACTATGATAGATTATAGTTAAAGTTTACTTAAAAGCAAACCTTCTGCAGCTAAACAACCACCCACTGATCAGTTCATTTTCAATTAAGATTGTAAATGTGAATGCCTAAGATGGACAAGAGCGTTTGCTCAGAGGTAATCATTTAGTTTCAAGTTTTATAGGATAAAACCGGTTATTATACCATCAAAAATAAATTTTAAACATTGAAATTATTTAATTTTTTACAACCTTTTTCCATTTAAATCTGAAAATATTTACCAAAGAAGTTCTTAATCCGTTCACAGTCATTAAATGAAGCTAAGCTATTCCTAAATCACAGCATATCCAGTATCTGATGTTTATAAAAAAATATTTATTTGCTGAAAGTTTGTACGAATATTAAATGATGGTTGCATGTTGGATGGTCATTTTAAGATGACACACGATTACGCCTCCCAAGTCAACAACTAGCCTTCTCATGGAGATAACGATTATATATAGTCGGACTTAGGACCGCACAGTTTTTAGTCGTCGTCGGTCGTGTTCCGAGTCGTCTATCTCCTTCTCTCTGTCCACGTCTTCACTTAAAATCAATTGTGAGTATTTTACAAGCTACTCTAAGCCAAAATACACGAACCTTACATTTGTTAACTTCTTTATCGGATGAAATAAGGTTAACGCTTATGTGTAAAAATAATTAGTACTAGAGGTCGTCCAGTGGTCGAAACTCGACCAAAAATACGTAATGTACTCACTTATCTATTTTCACCCCACACTGTAAATAAAACATGTGATTTGAGTTTCTTCCATTTGTTTTGGTTTTCTGTTTATATTTCGTTGTTATTTTCGTTACCAGCATGGCAACGCATAAGATCCATGTTAATATTTTCAAATTTTTAAACTCATTTTTTGTGCTTATCTTTGAGCCTATTTAAATTTATAAAGGGATTCTGCACACCTACAGGAAAATAGTTTTCTAACGGTATGCGTAGATTTTCCCTACGATGAACACGAGCTGAGAAAAAAGGTTTTAAAGAAACATGCTTGCCTATTAATATATAGATAGATTTGATTTGAACATAAGGATATGGGGTACTTGCCTGTTAAAGGGGACGTTCATTATTATCGATGTTTGCCATTTCTATTATCAAACCCAAACGGAATTTTTAAATAGTCCAGCAAGTTTGGTTGGTTATGTTAGGTTAGCTTAGAATATTTTAGCCTAAACAAGATCAGTTAGTTGTTGTCAATTTGTAATGGATCGGAAAATAAAAATATCGATATATCGAGAAAAAATCATCGATGATAATGAATGTTCCCTTTAACAGGAAAGTACCGGATATGGCGTAAAATTAACTAATATGTTTTTCCTTTGTACAAATATTGGTGAAATTTTCAACACAAATTTGTTCTCATGAATTTTAATGGATTTTAGCACTTCTTTTTGGCGTAAACATTATTTAACTTTCTTTTGTGGTTACAATTATCGAACTATCCTGTTTTGTACTCATTTACTGTTTTTAAGTAAATAAAAAATGTATTTGCCAACCAAATGAGTCCTTGCCTTGCTATTGCGGTAAGTATTGTTTGTTGTTTAAGAGACTCACTCAATTTTACAGTAAAATAAAAATTGTAGTTGGTATGTTGTCAGAAAATTTGAGGTAGTCATAACTTTAAGCACATAACTATACGTCTGTCGATATTTAAAAAGAATTCCCTATGAAAATAGAAAATTAATTATTTTTTGATTTATGTAAGCTGGTATAAAATTTACATAATTTTAAGTGGAGGCTTAAAGATAATAATTAACTATCAAATATATTTATTTTTCTTAACAACCTATTTACGATATTGAATTTCTAACACTTTACAAAACCTTTCTCTCTTTGTTCGTCAACGTATGTGGAGTCGTGCAACTAAAACAAACGGCTTAAAATTGCATTTATACATTTAACTTGTCACATTTATAATAGTACATAGCAACAATTAACATGTAATAATAATTTTAGGTTTAAATAGTCAAGAAATAGAAACATTTCGTAAATTTTATCTTTTAAAAAGGAAAGTCTGCGAATTTTAGTTCGTGATTAACTAATGTTTTAATTTAGACGGAACACACTTTAATTTAAAACATTATTATATTTGATTTTATCATACAAACATAGTTACATCAGAGTAATTGATTGCACTAATGTAATCAGCATAAACACAGCATAGAGCCACTCTAAGTGTCATGGACGTATTGATGTTGTCAGTAGGTTAGTGAAGGGGGTCACTGGTGGAGGGAGGGGGGGGTTATAGGAGCAGTGTCAAAACATAGGTGCCATTGATTGATAAGGTGTTTATAGAGTAAACAGTTTAACGCAGGATCTTCAAACAAGGCTTTAGACTCGGATTTTGCATCACTCTGTACATCATACGCTTCGAATTGTCATTTAGAAGAGATTTCCTTCTTTTGATGAAACTCGGATTAATTATTTCAGTAACTGATGATGAAGAGTGTTTAAAATACTTTATATTTGAAAGCTTTCCGATATTGTAAAAAATTTGTTGCTGATGTATAAATGTGTCATTGAATGTTGCTTAAAAATCTTTTTTCGTTCTAACTTCTAATCTAGGAAACAAGAGCTTTATTTCTATTGATTTCGTCTAGATAGAAAACTTGTCAATTTTACTGTGATTTGAAAGTAATTCCAGAGAACAGTTTAGCTATGTGATTCATAGTAACACACGTAACACATAATTCCTAGTTATCTTCAAGGAAATTACTGTACCCCATCCGTCCAAATAAATTACTTACGACATGCAAATACGGTTATTATTATATGAAGCTTATTCTCGTGAGGTGGTTTAACACAAATAACAAGACTTTAGAAACTATTTTTATGAAATATTAATATTAGCCTGTTATATTTTGGCATAGACTATTTTCTCCATGAATATTTAGTGTGTGGTTATTTTGTACGTATGAAAGGTTACATTTATTCAACAGGTATTAGTAAACAATTAATTACGATTTCATATTGTTACTGACCATATGAATATGTTAGATTTTAAAACTGTTCGATAAATTGGGCAACATAATTTAATATGATATACGAGTAAATATACGTAACCTCAATCCTCTACTATATGAAACAGGCACGAAATCATCAAGTAAAAAGATAAAGGTTAGATTTCGTGAACGTTGATTTAAAGCAAATAGGAAAATTCCATATCAAAGTAAATTTGCAAAAGTGATAGCTGTTATACATTACGTAAATGCTTTCGAGATAATTGTTTAACTATATTTAGTGTTATCACGCTCAAAGATATGCAGAAGGCTATCGCCCCGGGATTGGACTTAGGGTCAGTGGTACATTTCACAAGAACGTGATTGAATTTCCTTTTTTCTTTTCATGATTTTAATTAAGTTTATGTAAATGGAAAAAACACTGTAAATGGGAAGAAGAATTTAGAGCGAAAAAGAAAGAACGGCACAATATGATACTGCATAATCCTATCATTTAGATACGTTAAGTGAATGAAAATACGTCTAGTAACACCAAATCATATATTTTAACTTATACTCTTAACTCTCAAGACGGTAAATATTATATAAAAGATGTTAAGTGGTGATAGATTTCGATTGCACACTTTAATCGTCATCAGACCCAATAGATGATATCGATCCCCACTTTCCACCTTTTATTTACCTTGTTAACAGTACAAGTGTAGAATATACGTTTGTGACGAAATACTCTCCGGTTTGCCCGTTGATACTGCATACAGATTATATAGCCTAGGGGTGTAATTGTGTTAGCTTAGATTACTAACTTTTTACTTTTATGATAATTCATGTATGGTGTTCAGAAGGACGAATTATAAATTATGTTTATGTTCAATATCATTTATAGCAAAAATAACTACTCTAAAACATGCAAAAACATAGATTGATCTGTAATCCTTTACTCTTCCTTAAAAACTAAATTAATGCAGTAAAGTGGGGGGATTAATAATTGGACCGCATGTTTTGCGTAAGTAAACGAGCGTTGATGTTAAGCAGAAACTGGCTTATTTTGTATTTTAATTATACGATATTTAGGCCTACTAAACCAACTCACACCTCTGAGATCAAGATATAGCCTCCTACCCAAACGTTTAAAACAGCGACCAAATCTTACAACATGCTATGGGTAGTTTGTTTTGGTACTTAGAAGCAATAAATAAAATTATAAATAGTAAGTATTTATTTGTTGTAGATATTATGCCGGAAGCGACTCACGTCTCCAGACTGGCTCACACCTGTCCCAACCAACACAGATGCCTGCAGAAGGTCTGCATGGAGCAAACACAGAACCAGGACACTTTTCTGTTCACATCAGAGTCTGTCGGGGAAGGACACCCTGGTAAGATCAGGACACACCGTAGATAAATGTTTATTGAATTAACATACATATTAAAATAAGTCTTATATGCTAGCAATGAAAGAGGCATGTAGCTTTTAATGAATAGTCCTCAAATGCAGAGAAGGTCCTCAATTAGAATTCATTGTGTAGCCCCTGAACTATTTAGATTATTATGTAAGTTACACCTCTACGTCCACATTTCAATAGAGTATGGTAAAACTCACAACGTTTCATCATACTGTAGAACTGTGGACGAAAACATTTGTACCTTAAATAATAGTCTAAGGCTCTTATTGTTGTGTAGGGGGACACACCGCTGCTTCATACTACTAATGCAGCGAGTGTAGCCTACCTAGGGTTCTTTATGAACGTGGCCACTTTAATTTAAAAGATCCCCAATTTAAATTTCATAAAATAAATCCATCCATACTATCAAATGTGCAACTGTTATCATGTTACACAAAAAAATTAGGTGATAAATGAGGGTACATAAAAAGTTGTGTATCTTTGGAATATAATGCACAATAAAAGGTTTGCTTATGTATATTCTTAGTTTTCCAGTTAATTAGTTAAGATCAAGATTGATATCAAAAGAAATTACATAGTTTGAAATTTGATGGCAGAAAAGAGCTGACTACTTGTGCCAAAGTTTGGCTTAATTTAATTTTCCTGCTCTTACAGAGAAACATATTTACGTTATTAAATTTACTTAAAAATTTACAATAAGGGTGAAACGACTACTGTACATATTATCATCTAAATGGATGAATATGAAAATACATGACATCGTAGGATGATTCCACCCCTATTCATGACGTCACCATTGTTTAAACGCAGAACACGTCATTGTTTGATATGCTGATTATTAATCGAGTGTATTGTTGTTCCCAGACAAGATGTGCGATCAGATAAGTGACGCCATATTGGACGCTCATTTGAAGCAGGACCCGGATGCCAGAGTGGCTTGTGGTAAGTGCTATGTTCACTGATCGTTGTAATCATTTTAATACGCTCATAAGAAAATAGCAAAAACTTAAGATACTAACAAAGCAAATAAAAATCACATATTATCGCAAACTTATTAGTCATAAATGTAAAAGACGTGAAATAATATCATAATCATAGTCATATACTGTTCTTAAACTTAGGGGAAATCTTTATAAGCAAAATATTTGTTAAAGAACTTTATTACTTGTTTATCAAAAAGAAAAGAACAAGAAACTAGCAATACCGAGCTACATAATGTGTAACTTTGTTTACAATGTTTCAAGAGTCTTGAATATTGAGTCTATTCTCCAAAATCTGAAAGTATGTATCGTTTCGTGTCTACTATATAGTTATTTATTTTTCAAAGGTACCAGTCTGAAATAGTATTTCTAACTGATTACGAGCATCTAAAAATACACATCAGACAATCAATTACTAACTAAATTACTTTGCAACAGTTGATGAGATATTCGTAAATCCATTATGTCATTGAAATACAAAAATGTAAAAGAGGCTATAAAATAATACTCGAATATTATTGACACTCAGTTCAATGTTGAAATATTCTTGCAGAAACGGTAACCAAGACGGGGATGGTGTTATTGTGTGGTGAGATCACATCTAAGGCGGTTGTTGACTACCAACAAATAGTCAGAGACACAGTCAAACACATCGGCTACGACAACTCCACAAAAGGTATTTGCCTTCTTCAAACCAAGTCAAGCTGATGAACCTTATTATAAACTATAGCAAATCTTATACCATGTAAACTATACTAGAAAAAAAGGCTAAGTCATAAAATAATATTTTGGACTGTAGTGCCCTATGTGGATAGCTCAATCCTTACTAAATAGGCTATAACTGGTCAGTATGGATGGGTGAATCTGATTCAGTATCCAGTCAATTATATTGAAACTAGGTTAAAATATACGTAGAACTACATTTGGTACAATATTAAAACAAATTTAGAACAAAATCAACAACGTGTATTAGGATCATTCCCTTGTGTTTACCATTGTATTTTGTATAACTTAACTAATACAGCCAGAAACTAACTATCCAGACCATTACTGTTATAACTCAGAACAAATTGAAATACCGTATCCAGTTTTGAATGGTCATAAGCTACTGCATATTCTCAGTATCCCTTTATAAATGGCTGATTTTTTCGTTGTGAACATTATAGCCACTTAGCTTCATAATATTTTAAAACAATACCAGAACGCGTTGTCAAAACGTTGGATTGATTGAATGTGGATTTATTTAGATCATACGTGCCACTTTTACCTCAAAGTTATTTAGTTAAATAATGAAGAATGAAAACTAATAAGCAAATAAACCAAGTAGCATTTCAAGTAGAGAAATTTAAGCCTTAAACTAAGAGTACTGTACATCCATCTATTAATTAAGTATGCGAACAAAGTAATAGTTAAAGTACTTGTAGTGTGTACTACTCTAAGTTTAACACCAGAGAAGTATGTTACATCTCTGTGTTTAGACATAGTTAAAATAAATTTATTACATCTTAAAATATAGCCATTATTTAGTAACTTAATCAAACACTACTTGAGCCTTGAGTCTTGTGTGGATAATTTTGACCAATTTACATTAACATGTTTTGGAGTCCTTAACTATATAAGGTTAAAGTTAGTGTATAGATGGGCGATAGGGAGTCTAGTTAAACAAAATGCGTGAAAATAAATCCTGGTTTTGATTTGGTCCCAATTAACACGATAAACATTTGCATAACGTTGACCACAATAATTGTTTTATCGAATTTGTTATGCTATTATACATGTGTGCCTTATTTTAAAATAAAAACTAGCGTCTAGACGGTTTTCTTTGACAAACACGTGAAATCTATGTGACATCGTATGTACTAAATATTTCTCACTAAATTTTATAATTAAGGTACTACCTGGAAGAAATGTTATTCTGGGTATACAATGGTTATAGTACTTTACTTCACCCATACCGACTGACTCGATCCAATCTGGACACTTATGACATTGTTTGATGGTTTAGCAATTAATTACACAAACAAAATCTCGACGTAGGGGAGCGGGGTGGTATAGTGGTAGAGCTCGAGGCTTCGGAGTCCAAGGTCCCGGGTTCAAATCCAGGCAATCACAAATTGATATTATCCATGTGATAATTCCAAGACCTCTAGGATTAGTCTGAAGTAATATGTAAAACAGCTCCGGGCTAGAACCGGCCTAGGATATAAATGTGGGACAACAAAAAAGAACAAAAATACGACAATAGTAACAGGACCAGGGTTTGGCCCAATAAAAAACCCAAAAAGTTTCAACAGCTTAGTAAACACAAAAAGCAAATGCACGTTCATTTTACATTGTGTACACTCCACAGTCTTAATAAAAAGTGTGATTTTGTTGTTGTTTAGGGTTTGACTACAGGACTTGCAACGTGCTTGTAGCATTGGAACAACAATCACCTAATATTGCCAGTGGCGTCCATGTGGACAGAGAGGAGGATGATATAGGAGCAGGTGATCAGGTAATGTACAATCAGCTGGTAGACTTGTATATTCGTACATACAACTGTTTATGGCGGGTAAAATATGCATTTATTTATAAGCAACCTCTCAACAGGGTATAGGGGCAGGTGACTAGGTAATAACTTGTAATATACAATGAGTTGGCTTATACAGGGTGTCTCAGAACTCTCTACTCTCTCTCTATTTAGGGCATTGCTCCTGGGTAAGAAACATACCTAAATTTCATATTTAAACTGTCCGGAAGTCCTTAGTTACTCACACAGCCGCAATTTTGTTTTTTCAGTTATTAATCTTTTTCTAAAGAATGGTTAAACATACGAAATTCCATTCCATTTCCATTTCCATTTCCATTTCGTTTTGTCATGAGAGCCGAAGCCCCCTGACTGCATACCCGGTACCTATCCTTTAGGACATACCCGGGCCCCATGATGTAGGCCGAAGCTTACGCATCAACCTTTAGCACATCATGGGCGGATGACTTAAGGTCATCAGGCTCGCCGGCTGCCGAAGCAGACCCTTCGGAAGGAGGGTTGCCCCTCGATCCTAACCAGGGATTCCGGCTGCTTGTTTAAGCGTCACTCCACCTGGGTTCCACTAGGTCGAGACCTAGAGGTCCATGGTAGAGCGCCCCGACGCATTTAGTGCAAGCAACACTCGGGACCTATCTAATCCCTGACAGGCAGAACCCGCCATCAATAGCCAGGAGGAAGGGGACCGTCAGCACGCTGACGGGGGGAACCCCAACCTCCCATTTACACCGCTGCCCGATCGAGGCCTTACCCATTGCTGGGAAACCAGAGATAACCAGAGCGATAGATCCCCAGATACCCCTGGCGGGCTCGGACCCAGCACCCGATCTACTTCGTTTGCCCGTCAGACCCAACATCACTGCCAGGCCATCAGGGTTTCCCAAAAGGAGGCAGGTATAGAAGTGGGACCCACCCGGATGAACCTATCCACCAGAGGTGGCGACACCCTTGACTCAATTGAGGTTCCGGGAAGAACCCCCCACACTCAAGATAACCATACCGTCCGTGCTCAGAGACAGGGATTGGTTTGCATAAGTACCTACAAACCGTTGCCCTCACACTGCGGAAAGTTACGTTGCCCTTGAGTGTCCCCGTGAGCTGCGGGTACTTGCCCGTTTTCACCTCCAGGAAAGGTTACTTCCAAAGTCGAGGATTTGCCCACTGAATGCTGGTCGCACACAACAAGCAGGCCGAAGCCCAAAGAACCACAGACACAGGTAGGTTAGAGATTATGATGTACTTCCATCTCTCCTAGAGCTAAACACCCCTCCATCCTGGATAAAGGAATGTCACTGGGACCCAATGCCCAGTCGTCCATGTCTGTGGCCAACTTGAAAATGCCGATACCAACACGGAGCATTTACCTCCCCTCTGGGGGCTAGGTATTTCACCTCCCAGGACGAGGCTACTTCCAAAGTCGAGGATATGCCTCACAAAATGTCAGTCGTACACGACAGGTAGGACTCAGTCACAACCACAAGCTACAGGCAGGTGAAAGATCTATGAACTTAATCAACACTAGCAGCGCTGAACACCCCACCACCCTGAATGGAGGGAATGTCACTGGGTACTCTCACTTTGGGTAAACCCAAAGAGGCTGGCTTGTCCAGTCGTCCATAGCTTGTGGTCTACCTGAAGTGCCGGTTCCAACACCGGGCAATTACCTCCCCTCTGGGAGAGCTAGGGTCCGCGTGGTCGCCCAGGCCACGAACCCACGCAAGCGTGAGCCCCCTGCGGTTAAACATACGAAATGGAAACTTTGCACAAACATTTATGACACCTAGACAAAGCTACCAAAAATTATGAAGATTTTTAAAATTCGTAAAACAAAATGGCGGCCATTTGAAATTTTGTTTCTTAAATTACCCGAAAATCGTAGATTTTACAAAATTTTACAAGGATAGCCTTTTTAAGGCAATTCTATTACAAATCGATTGACACCTTATTTTTTAAGATTGGACTAGTATTAACTGAGATATGGAGTTTTTTTGTCATACGTGACCGCTGGAGGTTAGTTGCAGAGCATGCTGAAAGCGGTAACGTATCACTAAAACTGCCATATCTCAGTTAATACTCGTCCAATCTTAAAAAATAAGGTGTCAATCGATTTGTAATGGAATTGCCTTAAAAAAGCTATTCTTTTAAAATCTTTGTTAAATAAACTTTAAATGGCCATGGTGGTTTTATGAATTTTAAAAATCGTCATAATTTTTTGGTAGCTTTGTCTAGTTATCATAAATGTTTGTGCAAAGTTTCCATTTCGTATATTTAACTATTCTTTAGAAAAAAAAAATTATAATTAACACACTTATTTCCTTTTTTACAGCCTCGACGCTTTAACGACTCAAGGATTGTTTTTACAAATAATTGTTCAACGATATACTGAAAAAGGAAATTAACTTCTTCCAATCTCTTCTATACTTGGTTTATATACTAGGTTTATTAGTCCATAGCATAGAACATAAAATACTGTTATGTTTTGAAACACTAACACAGGTATTGACAAGTCTTTGGAGTGTAGTTGAGATCTATTTCCTTTGAAGTATGTCTCACGACCTCAGTATCGAACTAGGACACTGTTTTGGTTGTTTTCAGAGTATAGTTTGGTGTCTCTTATCTGTTCGCATTAAAACAATGACTGGCTGGGATTTAGGTTCTGTACTGGGAATGGCAGAAATGAGTATATTTTATTATATAGTATAAAGATCTGCCTATTAGTTACAAAGTTGCTTATCTGGTTGCAGCAGAGAATCAAAAAGTCAAACCAAAACCTTTCTTCTAATGAAATTCAATTTCCTGACTTCAGTGACACATCAAACTAGCCAACCTTCCTTAATGCTCCTTTAAATATGCGACACCTCCAGAACACTTACATTGTAACAAGACCTTCAATAGCAACTCACCCTTGATAGCAAGTGTAATTATTTAATACTCTTGATAATGGGTTTTATTTGACAATCCACAGAAGATACTTGCCATCAAGGCTCTAATGTAGGCTCCAAACACATTGATTAGTAAATAATATACATTCATGATGTACTGTGTGAATCTACTCGTTTAGCTGTATTCACTGTACAGTAGATCATTTCTAAATTCAATGATAAAGCTATTGGGAAATAGTTCTCCGCCACATTTTCATATCACATGGTCCATTATAATGTTATCAAGAAAAAATGTCTCGTTAGTAAGCAACGGGATAGCAGAAATCACTCTTAGCTTTAATTCGTTGTGTAATTAAGTAATTATTTATTTGAGTAATTGAATTACTTTAATGCCATATGTTGTTGGATTTTAAAATGTTTGTAATTATTGTGTGTTTATTTTAAGGGCCTGATGTTCGGATATGCTACAGACGAGACCGAGGAGTGTATGCCTCTTACTGTAGTTCTGTCTCACAAACTCAACGAGAAGATCGCAGAACTGAGGAGAAACGGGGAGTTCCCTTGGGCCAGGCCGGACACTAAAACACAGGTAATTAACACGATGTGATTAAATTATATGCTCTTATTCATAAAAAAATCTACAGAGGACAACGGGGGTGAGTTTTATGTTTCATATTCGAAATAATCAAATAAAAATTGCATCAAGATATTTAAGATAGATGAGCAAATAAACATAATGGGTGGTATATTCTTGGTTTTGACGTACCCTTTGTGATGAACTACCGTGATAACGGACTTTTAACAATGTGAAAAATATAAGCCTAGTTAGTTTACAATTTACTACCCGAGTTTTCGAATGTCGTCAAAAAACTTGGCAGTTTCAAATAGGTCAAAAATATAGAGCAAATAAATGAGAATCAGGAGTATAGTATTTGCTGTTCTCGATTGGTTTGAAAAAAAAAAACTAGTTTATGATATACCGTCATGAGATAGGTCATAGTAATGCCTATCAAGGAATAAGACAGCAATAGTGACTAAATTTATTTGTCAGGGCTCAGGTCATATGTACTTTACTAATTCAAAGGGATGAGTTATTAAAAAAACCCAATTGGATAACATTTTACTTAAAATGGTTTACCGACTTTTTTACTGAAGGTTCTTAAGATTCTGCTGAAAGAAAATTTTTTAATTCCTCCATCTGGAACTCTATATTCCATGATTGCATTTCACATGAATCCTACATTATCGTTGCAATCCCGACATAGATTCTACATGTTTTTACTAGGCTCCAGCCAGGGATTGTGTTCACAGAGTTCTTCAGGCTACGCTGCAGCATTGTCTCTTTAAAGAAATCCATTGGTGATTGGCGGCATTCGAACCCGGGACCTCGGGAACCGAATACCTGCCCTCTACCACTAGACCAGCTCACTCCCCAACATTACATTAACATAATCTTAGCTACTATTAAAGTTACTAAATCTATTGCTGTAATGCCACATCATAATTTACAGATTACCTGTGAATACCGTTTCGACCAAGGAGCCTGCATCCCCTTGAGGGTTCATACCGTCGTAATCTCGGTACAACACTCCGAGGACATCACCTTGGACCAGCTACGACAACAGGTCAAAGAGAGGGTCGTCCAGGAAGTGATACCTGCAAGGTTCCTCGACCAAAACACCAAGATACACGTCAACCCGTGCGGGGAGTTCATTGTGGGGGGACCTCAGGTATGATGACTCAAGACGTCCGTCTGGTTTTATTTTAAAGGATTTCTTCTTAACAAAACTCCTTGTGTTTTGATTTTTTTTTTTAATAATATGTATACAATTTCTCCTATTCTGTGCACTGTACTACTGTACAGTATTTTTACTGGTGGATTTCATTATGAGAATAGAACAGAATCGTCAATTTAATTGTTTCGGAGACTTTTTATGAGGAGGGTAACGAAGCTATTCCCGATAATTACATAATCTTTCCTTGACGCGCCACGTGTCTTCATTGAAGTAACTTTCTAATGAAACGCTAACATATTAAAACTCCAGATCAGAGTTGCAGTTGTTTCTATATAACTAGGGTAAAGTAATTATTTCGATATCGAGGATTATGATACAGTAACTAGTGATATCCTAATGTATTAAATAACTAATGTTATGTTTGGTTCCAAGTAATATGTATTCTAATAGTAACGTGCTGTTGATATGTCAGTATGTTTATCTTGTTGAGTAATACGTCTTATTAAAACTCCAGGAAAATCATATTAATTTAGCCAAGCAAAATTTAGAGATATAAAAAAAAATATTTTCTCTGTAAGTCTCCTAATCGAAACTGTTTGAATATTAAATCGTTTTAACAGTTCAAAACATTGTGTATACAGAATTATCCTTAAGTGTTGCAGCCTATACGTTTTAAGATCCACCTAACCCAACAATAGAAATCACATGCATATTGAAACATGATAAATACTGTGTAGGGAGACGCTGGGCTGACAGGTCGGAAGATCATAGTGGACACCTACGGAGGCTGGGGAGCACACGGCGGAGGAGCATTCTCAGGGAAAGACTTCACCAAAGTAGACCGCAGCGCCGCATACGCAGCCAGATGGGTAGCTAAGTCTCTAGTAGCCGCCGGACACTGTAGGAGATGTCTGGTACAGGTATGTGAGATTGTAGGTTAAACATAGTCCTTACAGTGTTTTTGAGATGTAGTTTTTTTTTTTTTTTTTTGAGAGATAACGCTTAAATAAGTTTACGTATTCCTTCTATTTATAGGTTACCTTCTATTGACTTAAAAGTAGAAACGACATTTTAAAATAGTTGTTTAGCCTCCGGATTACTCTATTATACTTAAATGGCTTACAATTACTGCATATAGTAATTCTTTGTTGCTAATTTAGGCAACTAGTTTCGGTTCTTGTTTTGGACCATCTTCAGGCCTCAAGGTGTCAAGTGATCACTTCATTCGAATTTCAGGGCCTTGAGGCCTGAAGATGGTTCAAAACAAGAACCGAAACTAGTTGCCTAAATCAGAAACAAAGGATTACTATATGCAGGTATTGTAAACCATTTTAAGTAGAAACGAAGAACAAACGCATGTAGGTGTCCTCTAGCGTTATAAACTGTAAACATTCCCTTTCATTAAGGGAGGAACTGTCACGCATCAACGCACACAAGCGTTGCCCGACATGAAACACGCCGAATCAAGCTTTTGAATATGTAATGGGAGAAAAGGTACTTACTCTATGCTAATGGTTACGTGTTATTTGTAGTAATTAAGAAAAAATTTAAATACCCCACTGTGTTTATTCCCAGTGATGGATTCAATAATTTCTTAATATTTTGAGCTGATTTGTTCGTAACACCTGTTCGAAATAGATTTTATCATCATTTAACCACCTTTTTAACTAAACAGCTTAAATTCAAATTCAGTAACATAAGGAACTATGACCTTTTAGACACGTAAAATAATTCCTAAATATTTTTGCAGACTTAGAGTGTTACTCCAGTATAATTTTGTTTCTGTGCTGAATTTGTATACCTTTGGCAAATGAAATTCTAATAATTGTGGCTTAAGCAAACCATAAGTTTACAGGTTTAGTTACTTGACCATACAGTATATCGACATTTTCTCAAATTGAACTATGTACAACCGGCATATCAATGTGTTTAGGTGTCATACGCCATTGGTGTTGCGGAACCGATCTCTATCACCGTGTTCGACTATGGAACATCGAGCAAATCTCAGAAGGAACTTCTGGCCATCGTCAACAACAACTTTGATCTGAGGCCTGGCAAAATTGTGAGGTGAGCTTGAGTAGTAGGCTATAGTATAATATCACCATTGGGATAAAGGAAATGCTAAGAATTAGAGAAACCTTTGAATAAGGGACATTCCTTTATTTTTTTGTGGTAGTTGAAAGTATGAATTTAGTTTTTTTCGAAATTCAGCCTCCACAAGGGGCGGCCAACTTAAAAAATTTCTTATGGAACATCCCATATTTTAAAACTTATTTACTCTTCGCATTTTCGCTCTAAGCTTACTCGTTTAGGAACTATCATGCAAAATTAACAACAAAAGTAATTTTTTCTTAGGTTGTAAGTCCTAAACGAGTAGCTTAATAGAAAGAATATCAAGAATAAAAACGTTTTAAAATTGAATGTTCTATCAGATTACACATGATAAAATATATGGTGTTCTATAAGAAATTTTAAAGTTGGAATTTCAGAAAACTAAATTATATTTTTTAACTGCCACGAAAAATGAATTTAATGTTTTCTCTAATTCTTGATCATCCTGTATATCTATTTAACCCATATGGACTGTCATATTACACAGTGTAATTTGTAAAGTGTACTGTGTGTGGAAGTGTAATTCGTAGCATTTTACAGGGAGCGCCCAAATTTACTTATACTCATACGATTAAGTAATGTAACAATGTGATTGTAGGAAACATTGTGCAATGGAATATGAAATAGAATACCATTTGGTCCCTAAACTATTTAACCTCTTTTACAGGGATTTGAACCTACGTAATCCCGTATACCAGAAGACAAGTACGTATGGTCATTTTGGGCGTGCAATCTTCCCATGGGAACAACCAAAGCAACTGAAAGAAGATTTGAAATAATCCTGTAATGTTGAATCCACTATCTGCAAAAGCTTGTTTACTCTATTCATTATTTTATTCATTTTATTCATTATTTTGCCTCCTGAACTGTTATTCAAAGTATTATCTAGGTTACGTACCTTATACAGTCAAAACAGTTCTGATACAGTCACTAAAGGACGATGCGCATTTCAGAGCTTTTAAGCTCTATCTTCAGGTCCGTGGATACATTTGTCAATTATTCATCTTGCAGATTCGTCAAAATATTTAAAACATTAAAACACATAACACAAACACATAATTCATTACGTTTATACAGGTACTGTACATGTGCCGGCCGGCTATAGATCCCGACTCTAACTACCTGTTTCAATACGCTTTGTAATTCTACAGTTTTAAGTCTAATGTATCCTCTTATTTTTTATTAACATTTGTAGGCCTATATACTTTTTAAGGACACGTGTTTTTATATTTACGATGGTGTATACAATTTAGTTGTTTCATGTCGTAAAACTTTGCTTAATTTAATTTTATTATTGTATGTGAATGCATTTTGCGATAAATTTAAAATATGTCAAATAAATTATGAAAATTTGTATTTGGTACCTGATTTACGCAATCCTCGAAAATATTTAGTTATACTATTCAGCTGTAAGAAGGTAAAATAACTCTTATACGCATACTACTTCATAATCCTGATACAGATACGTGTTTCAGGCTTTGTCCGGTACAGTTTTGTGATTATTTCACTCGATACTAGTCATACTAACCCAACATACTTTCTTTCGATTTCTTTCGAAGGGACGTGTAAAAGGAACACTTTTATCGATTTTTAAACTTTAATGTTTTTGAATGGTATAATAAATTATCAATCCAACTTTTTTTATAAAATATGGATTGTGGAAAAAATTTAATGTGTTGAATGGGACTAAATCCGTTGATTTTAGAAGAGTAGGACAGAAAGCCTTCCACTAAACCACCCACGTAATCATATTTTACTATTCCAGGACATCATATTCTGACACTGATTTATTCACTTATGATAAAATTATTTATTTTGAGCAAAAAGTAAACACGACCTGACCTATTTCATTTACACAGAACCTAGGCGGCATTTACAAGTAAGCATTGATATAAATCTCACCTATGATAAAACTAGGCTGAGAAACAAACACAAACATATGTTAAATATATACCTGGTAAGAATGTACGCTATCTATCTATAATATTAAAACGAAACAGGGTTTTTTTATTTCACGATTCTGAATCAACCACTCAACGGATGAGAAAGATAATTTTGAGAACTAGGGAATGTCGAAGCCATAATTGTAGTTTAGTGTCCCAGTTATTTATAAATTAAGTTTTAATTTTTGAAAAGTCTAGCAGCCGACGCTAAGATTCTAAACTAGCTTTTGGTGTAATAAATTTGTTTGACATAACAGCTGTAAACATTCAGAGTTTGTAACACAAATTCAGCATTTGGATAAAATTAAAAGACATACTAAGGGTTGACTTATTTATACTATGTGTAATGCTAATCATTGATACGTTCTATCCTTCGATAAGAGGATGACAGATTATTTAAATATACATAGGTAAAATACTAGGATGTTCAAAGGATTTTTTAAATAAATCTTTGCAATCTTCGGTTTGTTTTAGTGCAACATAAGTTTCTTTTAACTAACAGCTGGTTAGGAATACAATTTTAAATTACCACCACAACCCAGACGGGTTTTATCCAAAGATATACAGATATGAATGACATAGATTGAGCACAACGTCATCATTGACCTAGGATACTGCAATTAGACTAACCATCCTTTTATGAAATCTAAAAAGTTGTTTGGCGTGTGTTTAGTTGTGGTTAAGTTTGGAGGCGCTGAATATTGTATAGTTTAAATAAATGATTATGGGGAATTACGGTGCACATTGATTCAATAAGGGTGGTTTCATTTTAAGGGTATTAGAACTGATAACGGAATGGATAATAAACATAGACAATTAATTACGTCACTAGCTTTACTTGCGTGTTTTACGTTTAATACCCTTCAACATGTGACCAGTTCTTTTGATCAAATGAATATTATTTTATTTTTGACTCAGCTGTTTACCAAAACAAACTATATGTTGTTGTTTTTACTTTTCTTTGTTTACACTTATTTATTTAGCAATTGATGAGGGCTTTGCCTTTTATATATATAGATGTAGTGAAATTGATATAAAGGATATGTGTGGACGATTCGTTTAATGATGTCAGGACACCAACGTTATAATTATGTGTACTGTGAATTTTATTGGATGTTTTCGTTTTATTTTAGGGAGTTTCTATTCAGACCTACTGGAAATTGTGTATAGTATGAGTAATTGTATTGTGTTCATATTGATTATGGAAGAGGCAGGTATGCGATGGAATTGGAAGGTGATATTGTTGACTAGGCCTATACACTTTCCCAATTGATAATTACTCTTTCTACTGTAGGCTGCTATACAATTTATCTTTATACGTGTAAGCTAGCTGTTCTGATTTATACACAGTTTTAACTGACTACTCCCGTACGTAGGACGGGCTAACACCTCGTCTTTATTATTACGTTAGTCAAATAATTTCAAAACATATCAAATCTACTCAACTTTAACCAACGATGTAACTTTAAAGTTTCCGTCAAGACATGGAATATTGCAACTAGCTTTTTACTCGTCAGCCTTTTGTAATAGGATCGCTGGACTGGAAAATTGGCAAAATGAAACCAAGGTACTGTGAATAATTAGATAATTCTGTAAGTAATTTGATTTTTTCCTTTTGTATTGAGCCTAAATGTAAAGTTTAGAGTAGCTAGTTTTAAAATATATATCGTAGATTTAAAGGTAATGGAACCAAGCAATACTCAATTATTAATTTAACATATTCGTCAATTTAACTTGCATAGTGAAACATCAAATTAGTGGTGTTAAATGCTTGTAACCACCAAAAGCAAAACTGCTACAGTTTTTCGTAACGTCTTTTTTGGTCAACTCAAACGGTTCTTCTGCACAATAACTTACACGGAATCATTTTTTACTTCTGCCCTAAAGCATAAAATATTTTAAATAATTGTTATTTAATAAACTTAAAAATACAATTTAAAACTCTACCATATTAAAACTAAATTAAGCCTTTAAAACACCTTTATCATCTAGATCACCTTCAAGGCATTTTCATAATTTCAAACTAAATGAGAATCACATACAAGAAAATGTATGCACGTAAATAAAACTACGTTCCAATATAGACAATTTCAAATACTGTCACTGACCTTAAAACTGTTTGGAAAAACAAAGTTAGATAACACACGGATAAGAAACTAAATGATTCTCTTTTATATTTGTTTAAACACTCTCGTACTCAAGTAAATACTTTGTATTTTTTCCCGTTGTACATTTTAGCTAAATATCAAAGGAAAGTGTCTATTATTGGTACGCTTCGTTTTCCTAACTCTATCATATACTTTATAAATCATCTGGTTTTTATTGATACATTCAATAACATTTTATGAAAAATTCATGTTGCGAGAAAATTAAAAGAATTTATTAATAAATATCTCAAAATCGTTTAATTTTGTTCATGGTAATACAGTGCAAGTAATAAATAATACAACCACACTAAATCAAAGAGCTATAAAGTAGACAGCCTAATTTTATCCATTCGCATTTTATATCAGTTTTAAACAGACCATTTGACTTTTGGACGAAAATCAAATCATACGCACTATGTCTCTCAGAGAATGGAAATAAAACTGCCTACTTCATATGCAAATCGAGATTCTTGCCATTCAAAAGATTTGTATCAAATTAAAGAGTCAGAATTTGCATTGGAGAGAGCCTTCCAAGGGATACGATGGTTAATTTACCCTTATTTAACTTCGTTTGAAGTTATTCAGCATAAAACTTCCACGCACTGTAATGATAAAAATAATATGTTTTACCAATCTATATAACTTTGGAATTATATTTACAATAAATGTTGATGGAGCAAGATGCAAATTTTTTTAACAATAATATGCAGGTTAAAATATTTCAAATTTTTAGTATTAACAGTCATTAAGAATATTGTGATTATGCTTATAAATAATCATAAAATTATACGAAACTACATAGTAAGAACTAAACAAAGTGAAAGTATGGTTTATATCGTGAAATTATCTTTTTAAAAAACTTAATCATTAAACCATACAAACCTGCAAACCAAGTGAATTTCCGTTTGCTTCATTATATTTTAAGTAATATATCTTATTAAAAATGTCAGATTTATTCTCTAGTTTAGTGAGTACTAAGACTTTCTGCTGCAAGAAAAAGTAATGTTATAAAATCTTTTACAGTGAAATATTAATAATTTAGTCTTATAAAGAGTGGTTCAATAATTACACTAATAAAATTTTTCAACACATTCAATTTGATTGAAAAACTAGTAATATCGTCGATCCAATTTCATAATATTAATAATTTATTAAGTTAAAACAAATCAATTATTACCTACCCAACCTTAAATGTATACGTAAAACTTAAGGAATACATGTGTATAATGGTTGCAGCAATATGATTCATTCAACTTCGAAAGTATTTATACAAATGGCAAAACTTGTATCGTTAAAGTAAAGCACTGCGTAAATTTGTAGTCCCTTAGGCTGTGTCTTTGCGTTAAACTTTTGCTTTAACTAGAATTCGTAACCTTGTATACTTGGGCCGACTGAACGTTATTTTATCAGACCTTTTCAGTGTTGGTTCATCTGTTATTAATTGTTAGGAAATCATTTTAGTCATTATACTAGTCAGTGAAATATAGCTATGCTTAATTAAAATACCCCCACCGCAAGGGACTAAAATAGTTGAAGGAATAAGCAAATTGTAATTTGTGTGAATTAATTTGTACTTTTTTTTTACAGATTTATTTATTCTCCATTCAAATACCTTTAGGTTTAAGGAGTACTTAATTTTACTGCTACCGGAAAGGAGTAAAAAGTGTTTTTGGCGAAATTTAATAGTATGGGATAAAATAAATATATTTTCCAAATTTGATCTACATAAAATCCATAAACATGTAAACTACAAAAGTTTTCTTTTCCTTCATAAGAATAATATGGGAATCCTTAATGTGTTTTATTGGTCAATATAGTATGCACTGATGTTTTTGTTTGTATAACCATTTAAATCCATATACGTCAGAAAGCGGAGTGAATATTACTGAAGCACACGACTTTTAACTATTTAGTTACTAAAATAATTTAAGTTTTATATCACTTTACCACAGACAACCATTGACGAGGTTGATTGTTGAAAACTACATTTGCATCCATTCCACAGTTACTGACAGTTTTACTCATTCTGATAAAAGTGTTATTGATTGCAAGTTTGATTGGGGGAGTTAAAATCACTAGAGAAACCTTTGTGGGAGTTCCATGCCAAACATCCTGATTTGGAAACCAATTTTACTCTATAGATATATTTATTTACTCGTAGATTACAAATAGGACTTTGGAATAATTGCTTTCGTTGTTCTAAATATTCTACGTGTTTTTTATACATATTCATGGTAAACAGTCGTAAATAAGCAACAATAATCTA